CCCATCCCCATCCCCATCCCCATCCCCATCCCCATCCCCATCCCCATTCCCGGGAAGCAGATCCGCCCGGCCCGAGACGGACCTCGCCGAGTTCCTGCACTCAGCCGCTAGAGGGCGCGATGCCTACATGGAAAAAAACGTGGGCCTGTTTTTCCTCGGTTCTCTGAGAACACACGCCGGGAACATGGCATAATGACTGAAACCTCAATCTCTCAAATTAAGCATAATGATTAAGGATCACAGCAAAGAGAAAATCTTTCAGTTTGCCCCTGGCATAGGCCAAATCATATCCTGAAGAGCCGCAAAAGCCTGATGGATTTCTACAGGGAAGACAATTATTTGAGAGATTTCCAGTTGAGGGCAAGAAAAATGAAAACTAGAGATACTGAAATAAATCTCGACAAGGTGAAAACTAAAACCCAAACAACAACACCACAAACAAATCCACTCAATACTGCGGAAAGCACATTATACACCTCGGGACGGAGAATTATTTAAAGTGACACTTTCACTCTTTTAGAATCACTAAAACCTTGAACATTCCTCCTGCTGGCACAAAATGGGGAATTAAATAACTCCTTCACACACAAAATGATGTACAGATCTGAGCCACCTTGGGGGACGTTTTTATTAAATAATCGCTTCATCTGGGTTAGACCTTTTCATATCTCTCACTGTAACATAATTTTCCTTAGTGGCTGAAGTGTATAAACTGCGCTGTGCCCTTACACAGAGGGCTACACTCAGAATGTTCAAGAAAGCTTTGGCAAAAACTGCTCCGATAAATAGGAAAATATGGAAGAGCGGGTGATTCATCTTTCATTTGGTTCAAATAAACTGGCTTACAGAACAGCACAACACTCTAATTCCAAAGTGACTCTCGCCCTGCCTGCCTCTGAAAATGAATGTCTCCCCAGAGACTGTGGTATTTGTAACTTAGAGCTTTGGAATTCATTTTATCCCTTAATAAAAACATAATCTCTTTATCCAAAAGAACACTCCTGCTGCTACTTTAGAAATCAGTTATAAGGTAGGGAAATTAAGAATTATTCCATCTAGCTTGCCTTCTCATAACCCCAAACAGGCTTTACTTACTCTGTCAGTCCATATCGAAACCTCCAATTCCTGCTGTTATCGGTCACTACAAATTCTTGAAGCTGATAAAGATATTCTCTCCTCTTGTCTTCATGAAGCAACTATTTTTTAAGAATGTATATATAAATAAAAATATATAATCCTTCAAAATGTCCCCAAATAGACTGTTTTATTATACTTCAGATTATACATTTGTCACCGGCCAGGACCGTGCATTTCCCTGATGCCTTGCACTCCATTACCCAGTGTGGCTGTGAATTAGCTTTGCTGTTAACAGACGTCCAACGCATCCCTGACTGCTTCCAATCTTTCTCCCCTGGTTCGTGTATGTGCTTGTGTGTTTCTACACGCCCCCTACTCATCCTTCTTTCACAATTTCCTGCCTGAAAAAAAACCAAGCATGTGTGTGCTTGGAAGATAATGCCCTGCTGCTTCCCAGGGAGGTGGCACTGCTTGTGTGCTCCTGCACCAGACAGGAAAATCTCCGGCGATGCGGCACGCGCCAGACTCCGTCAAGGGCAGCTCCTGGTCATGTGGACGCGAGTAATTAGTTTCTCTAGGTCATTTTTAAACTCTTAGTTTTACGCTCATCGTTCCTCTGGGGCGGGGGCGGGCGGGGGGAAGGCAAGAAGGGAAGCAGCAACATCTTGCAAGAAAGAGCCCTTGGTGCAGAATTGAGATTGGATTTCAGCTGGCTCTTCCCTTAGGTGACCCCGGGCAAGTCACACGCCACCCGGGAGCCCGGTTCCTTCTTTCTCAAGAGTGTGCTGGGCCATCTGTCTACCATCCTCCATACAATTAGAACTCTAAGGGACGGGAAGATTAGGAGGAAAGATAAAAATATTTACCCGTCACCGAAAGAATGCCCACTTTAAGATTTTGGATGCCATGCTTCAACTGAAGAGACCCAGACAGCTGTCTCTGGTTTTTATTCCACTGATACTTTACATATCCAGGGTTTTAAAAAATTGTATTGGGACTTCCCTGGTGGTCCAGTGGTTAAGAATCCACCTTCAGGCGCAGGGGATGCGGATTCGATCCCTGGTCGGGGAACTAAGATCCCACACGCGCAGGGCAACTAAGCCCTCACCCGCAACTACTGAGCCCGCGCACTCTGGAGCCCACGTGCCGCAACTAGAGAAGCCGGGCACTGCAACAAAGAGCCCACACGCCGCAAAGAAAGATCCCGTGTGCTGCAACTATGACCCAACACAGCCAAATAAATATATAAAAATTGTACTGAAGAGGGGAGATTTGTTTTTTGTTTTAATCCTTCTTCCTACCTTTAGAAAGTCATACAGGTGTTTCAGAACTCCTATGCGTACTTCATCCAGGTCCTTTAAAAATCCACTGAAGATGGGCAGCAGGTTGGCAGCCGTGCACTGATCCCCAAGGATCACAGCCAGCTCGTGGATGGAGAAGGCTAAGGTCTGACGGACCTTCCACTGGGGGTGCGCAGAGACATACGGACCACAAAAGGCAAGCATAATTCAGTGTTATCGAGAGCATAAGTGGCATTTGTGGAGCCAAACTGATACTGCCAGGGGTTGACCACTTAAAGCTTCATTTGATCAGAGACCAGTAAACAAGCCAATGGCGGCCACATAAAATACAGGTCAGCGAGCAGCCCTGCCGCAGCTTCCCGTTCTCCCTAATTAGATGACCCACCCTATTCTGTGCCTGCCCCTGAAAAGGCTCCTTTTACCTGCACGTCGGAAGCCAGCGTCTCGTACGTATCTTTCAGGCAGTGTCAATTCTGCCTGCCCAGTGTCAGCGCCACCCCCAGGAGGCTGTAGGCACAGTGTTTGGCGATGTCGGTATCGACGGTCTGGGTTCGAGCTGGGTCAATCATGGACACGTACTGATCTAGCAGGGGCTGAGGTATTATATCCTGAGAAACAGGAGAGAAAGGGAACCATCATGCTTGCAGTAGAGAAGGAGAACACTCATGAAAGACGAGGACATTGGAACCTGGAGGTGAAAACAGCAAAGCGGGGGTATAAGAGGAACAAGAGGCCTTCCCAAAGCTCGGGGCTCTGGATTGCACGAACTTCTTGTTCAGCATGTAGTGAGTCAGCTTGGTCTTAAGTTAAAGCAGTGGCCACGCTCATCTTTTCTAAATTGGTCCAACACTGGATATCACAGAGCACAGTCTAGAATATCAACGTTTGGCTGGTCTGGTACACGCAGCTCTGGAGAATGCAAACTAGCTCCTCTTTTCTCATTAACTGCCCCCAGCACCTATGGCCAGAGCCACTGCACTCTGCTCACTACTACCTTTTTCCAACTGATGGGATACTGCCTTCATAAGACATCACCCACTTACCTTTTTCTCTGCAAGGACGAGGGGATACAATAATTAAAAACCCTTAAGAGAACTGCCATAGCACTAGAAGCTAATCCACAAGACAGAACAAAACCAAACACAGTTCAACAAAGGAAGCTGTCGAAAACTTTTCAGACAAAGAAAGGAGCTAAATGGCTTGTGTAAACAGACACTACATATTAACGTACACATGCCAAATTCTCTTCTCACCTTTGATTTGCTTTATTAAAATACCTTCGAGACTGTTCAGAAGACTTTAAACAACACTTGAGAATTTACTTTTTTTCAGTTAGAGAGGAAATATCAGCAACACAGATTATGAACTAAGATATGTCATTAATCCTGATGCAAGAAAAACGTTTGGTTCCAACAGCCGTTCTTAAACTTAACTTCCAGAAAATGCAGTTCTGAGTTGCTTTTCTTTTCAAGGAACGAACCTGCGATTTAGATTTATCCTCTTCAAGTGGGCTGCAGCCATGCCTCTGGTCAGTCTCCAAATGGCCACTGGTTCCACTGCCAGGTTCACCTGGACCCTGCAGAGTTGATCGGGCACATTACCAACGTGGTCCAAAGGAGGAAGCTGTCCTACCACTCCCCCTTCAAAGAATTCTCTTTCAAGGCCAAAAGTGACTTCTGCAGACCAAGACCAGAGCTCCCCTGAAGACACTGGTGTCCCTCCAGATGTGAAAAAATACATTTGCACAGTTGTATATGATACCATATAGGTCAGTCATTTCAAGTGCATTTTAATTTCAAGACTGCTGGAGGCCCTTACAAAAGACAGGCTCTTGTTGGTGAGTACCAACAACTCGAGTCTGTATTTACCCTTCTTTAGGTCCCAGGGTCCCCAGTGTGGTTAGCTGATGCCCTTAGGTAACAGTCGCATGTTTAAAGCAGAGGCCACTCCGGAAGGCAGGGCGAGGTCTGCAAGAAATGGTGAAGAGCACCTCCAGCATTTCTCAGGGATGAGACAGTACAGTGCTCTGGACTCCAGACAGAGGATGGAGAGGCGGGGGGCTGGGGGGACCCATTTAATCTGAGTGAAAAGATGTGGCTGATGAAAGGGTATTTAGAAAACTGTTCTCAATTTTCACATGTACAAATACCTCTAATGTTTGCTGATGAACCTTTACATTAGGTTAACAATTAAAATGAGCTGGACCATCCAGCGGTGACATATTGGTCTCTGGTCATTGATTAACATTAACTGAGATGGACCTGACCTTCTCCTTCAACCATAACACGGATTTTCCTACTTGCACTTGAAATGTCATACTGTCTACCAGCTTAATGGATTCTGACAAATCAGCTCGATATATGATCCAGGAAGTCGATTAATACACCGATAGATGCTTCGCTTGCTCTGAGGCACGCTACCAGAACCTTCAATTCCCAAGGTTTGCACTGAAATGTACTGCTTATTTTAACAGAGGACATGATAAAACAGAAATATTTTGGTATGATAACCTAGGACCCCAGTTTTTCCAAGTTAATAACTTCATATAGATTAATAAATAATACAGCGTTATTCTCCTTCTAGGAATTAACTTTATTCCAAAGTCTTCAGTGCCGTAGTTACATACAGCACTTATTCCGGGAGCCAAGGTTTACTTAAGGTTTAAGTAAACCACCCAAGTCAAGGCAACCCCAGAGGGAATTGGGAGGTCATTTCCCCAGAAAACTACCTGGCAGTCAAAAGAGACAAGTGGGAAGAAACAGGCCCCTCCTTCCCCTGGGCATCTCGGGACCAAGCTGGTGCGTGAAGATGGCGGAGTGGGAGCTGGACCAAGGTCAACGCAAGGGCCAAGGGCGAGCAGCCTCCCAGCCTCACCTCCTCTTCTGTCCTCATGGCTTAAGCTCTGAGTTTTTTTGTTCTTTTTCCTTCTTTTGCAACTAGAGGCATCCTGCCCGATCCCTTAGGAACCTAAGAGTCAAATTCAAGAGCCCTGACATCCATCGCCATAAACCAAAAGCCCAATTATACAGGCCCCTTTAAGATCCTTCGCTCAAGACAGCCAACCTGGAGGAATCTGTTCTCTCTTTTCCTTTTTCACTTCTGCATATGACAAAGAAGCCCGAATCCCATCACATCTCCCACCAAGGTAAACGTGACCACGCCTTTCCACTCAACACAGGTGGTTTTTATACTCCAGGTAACAAAGGTAACAACGTGAGCTTTCTTGCCTATTTTTTGAAGCAAATCAGCAAAACAGGATATCATCTCATTCCCTACTAATCAAAGGCAACCTTAATAACCCTTGAACATTTTATATTCAGGCTTTTTTAATTCGTCGTTTGTTTAGCTTCACTGGAGTAGGCCAAGGGGGTAAACGGAGGTGATAAGCTCGTTTAATCACGGACGTCAAAATATAAACCGTGTGAATGGAGAAACAATTGGTATTCTGACCCTGGAGACCACAAGTTTAAAGAGATTCTCCATCGTGGCACATGAAAATGAGAGGGTGCCCACACATCATGACTTTATGATCACAGACCCCTTGCTAATTTTAATTTGCTAGTCTCACCACTACCTGTGAAGGACCCCAACTCAAAGGGGTCCATGTGCGAGTTTAGTAGGAATTAGGAAGGCATCAGAGCCTCCTACCACGAGCGAGCTGGAAAGCTAGAGAAACTCAAGGTGAGAAATAAGTGCCAGGCTTCCTTTTCGCCCCAAACACGGAGTCCCAGCCTCACGGGGGCTGGTTCCAGACTAGAGGAGAAACAGTAGTGAGCTACTTGTCTTCTCAAAATCGCCCCTCCAAGGGCTTCCCTGGTGGCGCAGTGGTTGAGAGTCCGCCTGCGGACGTAGGGGACACAGGTTCGTGCCCCGGTCTGGGAAGATCCCACATGCCGCGGAGCGGCTAGGCCCGTGAGCCATGGCCGCTGAGCCTGCGCGTCCGGAGCCTGTGCTCCGCAACGGGAGAGGCCACAACAGTGAGAGGCCCGCGTACCAGGGGAAAAAAAAAAAATCTCCCCTCCAAGAAACGGCATCCAGCATCACTCCTGAGCAAGCATGGGTTAAAGGAGGCCCACGGGACGGGCTGGAGGTAACGCACAATCTCAAAGGTCACTGTCAACTTTACATTCTAGGAGTTGCGTGAATTCACCTCCCCTTGCTACTGAAAGATATAGGCGTCGGTTTAGCAGTGAAATAGAGCATTTAGACGGTTAATCCCCCCAAAGAACCAGGTTGTCTTTGGAGAAGAGGGAAGGTGCTTTTGGTCTCCCCACGTTTGTTTTTTTCTTTTTTTTTTTTTTGCGGTACGCGGGCCCCTCACTGTTGTGGCCTCTCCCGTTGCAGAGCACAGGCTCAGGATGCGCAGGCTCAGCGGCCATGGCTCACGGGCCCAGCCGCTCCGCGGCATGTGGGATCTTCCCGGATCGGGGCACGAACCCGTGTCCCCTGCATTGGCAGGCGGACCCTCAACCACTGCGCCAGCAGGGAAGCCCCCCCACGTTTGTTTTGTGGAGGAGAATCGGGGTTATCAATCACCTGATTGATTCGTTGTCTAGTTATCCAAAACATGACCTTAAGAATAAAATTAAATGTGCCATTTATCAATTCTGCCAGGATATATTAATAAAAGAAAACGCAGCTGCGTTATTTCTGTCACATCCTCGCTGGCTGAGGGAGAGGGCAAAGACTCACTGTGCTTTGTAACGTCCTGGCCGCGGCGAGCTCACTCTGCGGGGGTGAAGCCGCCGGGGCCGGCTGACTGCCAGAGGCTGGGCTGGGATCTGAACTGGACGCCTCCTTGAGCCCTCCGTCGGCGGGCGCTCGGGCTCATTCACAGGGTCTAGCTGTGCGGCAACCAGTGCAGCTGACAACACCTGAACTGGAGCTGCAGGAAGAGAAGTTCCAGGAATTTGAATAACTTTATTTGGTTTGCAGGGATTGACTCACAACGTGGACGCACCGCACAAGCCCTCCCCTTCCGGAAGTCGGGCGCCCGGCGCGAGCTCTCACAGAGGTGCTGATGTTTACGGCCATTACCTTTATTCCAACTAACTGCCAGCCACACACAGTGTCCGACCTGAACTCGAAAAGCCTCAGTTAGGAAAATCAGAGTCCAATCCCATCACCTTCCACAGAAAGACAACGCGATGCTCCTGAACGCTGCTGTCTGGGAGGCCCAGCAACATGGAGGGGGGGGGGGGTCCCATCCCCCATTTATAAACCAGGGCGGCCGTTGCTCTGCCACACGCACGCGCGTGCTGGGATCAATCCATCCCCGTCCACACCGACGAGTAAAGACCGCGTTCACCCAGCCCCGAGCGCTACTCGTTCTTTCTGTCCACAGCACGGCTATTCGAGACTCTCCTAACGGTGAAGATGACATAGTTCACATGCCTTTCTGTAAAAAAACAAACTGATGTGTCCATGTCTCCAGCCTCCAAACACACACACACACACACACACACACAGTACTGCCTGCATCCTGTTTCCTACTAGTTCAATTCAACAAGAGTCCTTAAAATGTTTAGAGCCTACAAGGGCTCCCCACTGGGCCCAGGGCAAGGTGCCACCTCCTTAGCGCACCCGAGGCCCTTTCCAGGGGTCTGAGTGACATTTTCAGCCATGGCCAGTTCACAATTACCCAACGGGTAGTTTATTTCTCAGTCTTCTGGGGTCCCAGATCCCTCTGAGTGCTGATGAAAGCCGCAGGTCCTTCCTTACAAAGAAGTTAAGTCTGCATATGCACACGATTTCAGGAAACTGGAAGGAACCTCTGAAACTCAACCCTCGACTTCTCGAGACGATGGAGTCCTGGCCGTCGCCTAAAGCCTAAAGCCCACGTCAAATGTCAGCTGCTCTGCAAGGTCTTCTCCCAGATGCTTCCTCCGCCCGCAGGCCGGACCGGCTTCCTGCCCTGCGCGCCCACCCCTGCCCCAGCCCGTGCCACTGCCTATGCCGGGTGGTTGTTTCCATGATCCCCTCAACCAGCCCTATGGGCTTCACGTGTCGGGCGTTACTGCCCCAGCACCCAGCCCGGGTCCGAGCACTGAAGAAGGCAGCTTTAGAAATGTGTTTTCCAAAAACAGACCTTTGTCTATAACAATTAGAAGCGATATGTTACATGTGCTCATTCCTTCAGCAAACACTGACTTAATTTCCTTTATAAATTTAAAGACAAAGAATAATCACAGGGCTGACTGGATTTTCACATTTCCTTTCCCGAAAGCTTCACAAATCTTTGCCCGGCAACGGCAGCAAGTGTTGTTTTTTTCCAATTTCCCCAACTCAAGGAAGAATACAAATACCGCCCCGTTTAGAGAAAGAAGAGGCATGGTGATGGATCTGGACTGCAAGGCCTGGCTCCCAGATCAGACGCTCTGTGGGAACACTGGTCACAAAATGAAAAATACCCCAAAGAAGAAGTTGTGCTCCTCCTGGCTGTACAAAGGGAAAGACCTTAAGCTTCAGGTGAGTTAACAGGCTCCAAAAGGAGCACCCTCCTTGGCTGTTCGTAGCTAGAAAGGGCTTTGTCACACGGCGAGAGACAGAACCGTGTCCAAGGAGCTAATAAAACTTCCACCGCTCCAGACACGCCCGAGAACTAGCCGCTTCTATCTGAGAACCGGGTCACACGGCTGAAAAGCAAGGAGGCAAAACCCTCGCAGAGACCTGCAACAGCAGGATCCCCGGCGTGAGGGCTGTGCGGAGACTGGGCCAGGCGCCCCCAGGGTGGGTGCGCAGGGTCGATCGAGGGAAGTACGCACACGTGGACAGCCACACGGGCCCAGCTGACACACAATCCAGAAAGATCCCGTTTTCTCTTTCATTACCGTGGACAACAGCTACCTTGCACACCTGGATCGTTCATCACATGCTCCTGCAAACCATCCAGGACTCTCTGAATCTCGCTCCTAGCCACACAGCTCCTATGCACGGCCTCGGGTGTGCCGCCACCTTCCTCCTGCGGGCCAGCCTCGCTCAGGAGCAGCTCTAAGTCCTTGCTTATGTCAGGGAGAGGAGTTCGCCAATAAAGGAAATTATTGAAAACGTCCTCAGGATGCCCCGGGCGGGCCCAGGAGTCTGGTCCAGGATGGCTGTTGACGGGGAGGTCGTTAATACTGGGGAGCTTCGTGGCCTCGGGGGAAAGCCTGGTCACCTCGGCTCCAGCCAAGACAGAGTCTTCCGTTGGCTTCTCCGTCAGGCCATTGGAGGAGCTACTGACGCACGGAAAATTGCTGGTGTCCGTGGATGTGTCTTCCATGGGTAGAGCTGGCTCTGTCTGGCCTGGCTTTGTTGAACTAGTTTAAATTGAGGGAAGCAAATTTTTAGCACCGTGCAATAGACTGGAAGTAAAATGGGGAAACATCAGACCCCCATCCTTGCGAAGCCAGTCCTCCTCTCTACCTCGCTACCCAACCTCCCGTGTCTTCCGGTGCCAGAAGTTAATAACCTCACGGAGGATAAGAGGTCCAATCGGTACCCTCTGCCCCACTGGGAGTATTAAAGCACTGAAAATGCCACAGGAAGGTTCACCCAATCCCTCCATTACATTCAAGTGGTGCACCAGCCCTGGCTTCCGCGGGCACCCTTCCGTGGCGAGACTTCACGCACTTACTGCTCATCAGTACCTCCACCGGGGGCAGGCATTAGAAAATAAAAGGCGCTAGAGCTGCTAAGAACTGGCTATTGGTGAACCACCTGGAAAGTCCTGATGAGGAAGATGTGGCACAGAGGCCTGACCTTCAGCAAGAACTCAATGCATTTTGGTGGAGAAAGATGGAGAGAAGGATGCACCCATCTTACGACGCATCCGTGCCATCCGAGATGTGAATCACCTCCTCTCACACGGCTGAGGAGGAATATTCGCAATGGAGAGATGATTGTAAACTACCTCGCGTGGCCTGCTTAGTACGTACCCATTGTCTTCCGAGGAAACAGGAAAAAACCCGAGATCAATCACTAGGACTTACTAGAAGAACAGTGTGGGCCTACTAACGGTGAGCCAGGAATGTCACCTTCATGTGCACGATAAATCCTACGGCACAAAATTCTATTGGGGAGACTTCACATTTTCCCTGTGTAAATTATCCAAAGAACTTCATTAATCAAAAAGTAAGAGAAAATTTTCTTTATTGGTTATTTAATCACGACTCTGAGTGAATATTTTATCTACATTTAGGAGACACAGTAGCTTCATTATTTATAACCCACTAGTCATGTTTCAAAATCATTATTGCAATTACTTTTTGCTTCTTTACATAATTAAAGCTCTAATATTCCACCGTGCCCAGAAGGTCACTGTTACTAAAGCTCCAGACAAGGTAATTGCTAGAATTTTAGGTGGATGCTTGAGGTGACGCCGGGATCCTGATAATTACTCCAGCCGAAACTCACCAGGCTGAGGACATGTTCCCATGGCTGCCTGCACCCGGTGACCCGGAGGTGAAACCCGAGTCCAAATCCGGAGCCGGTGGTCGGATGCTCAGGGTGCCATCCTCTCGAATATAAAGGCCAGCCCTGGAGGGGTTGGCAAAGGTGAAGATGACGGGGCCCAGGGACTGGAAGGCAGCCTGGCGCACCCAAAACCAGAGAAGAAGGGTGCGGTGCACGCGGTGTCGGCCAGGTCTGATCCCAGGCTGAACAGACGGCTGATTGCCAGCGAATCCACTGTCTGCCACGTTACGTGTAAGCAGATGCACTGCTTCCTAAGGCCGTCCCTAGGTTCCAAGTAAACTATCTTCCAACAGAAAATCAGGAAAAATTGAGTGCCATCATGTAGTCTGTATGCTTCCCGAATATTAATTCCACATCAAATAATCCCAGACTTCGTACAGCATCTGAACAGCCCTTATTCATCATTGCGGGCGTGTTTATGATCACAACAGAAAAGGCAACGATCCAGTTACAGCTTCCTCCTTCTCCTTCCTCGTTTCTGTGATGTTCGTTTGCTATGAACGCTGCGGTGTGTGCCACTTTCCTACTACACACCAGGCTTCTGAGACTTTAGGTGCCCTAATAATCTTCACAAAGTCTAAATACGCCAAATCCGTTACCGAAAAGACACAGTAACAGTGCCCAGTGCAAAGCCACACCGAGGCCCGCGAGTGGCCGCACTCATCCACCGACAGGGGTCGCTGATCAGCGTGATAAAGGGCGCCGAGAGCCTGGCCCCGCGGCCCTCGGGGGACGTGCTGTGGGACACGCCACGACGCACTCCGCACAGGCTTTCCTCGTCCCCCACGCAGTGTCTGAGCAGAGCTCAAAAAACTGCGGGAGCTACCAAAGCAAACAAAACCATGTCACCCGAAGGAAGGGCAGACCTGTTTCAATGATGTAGTTAAGGCAGAGCCTTAAGTTAATGACACAAAAGGGAACTAGCTGCGAGTCCAAAAGGAATCATCTGAAACAAACAGAAATAACTTCCTTTACCTCTTAATCCTAGTAAATGACTGCGTTAAATTCAACAATACAGAAAACCGCCCCAAAGGCTGAATGACTGATATGCACCTGTGAACTGTAGAGAATTGTGAATGACTCTGAAATTGTGGATTCCCCAACTAGCGGCCCCACCCAGGTCCCACGGTCTTTGGCTGGGGTACTTTAGTGAAAGAAGGCATACTGTTAAAACCTCACAGTACCGCCAATAGTTCCAGTCCACGGAACACAAACTGTGTGCGGTGGAATGCAACGGACTGTCATCACGCTGGATATACACGGTTGTGAGTCCATTTACAAGTTCACATCGGTCCTCCTCGGTGTGACCGTCAATGTGCGGCGCTTCGGGTAAGCTAGCTGCATTCCAGCCATACAGGTAGCACGCCCTCTCATGTAAAAGCGGCAAGTGCTTACTCAGCACAGTTCTCTGGGGGCCTGGTACCGGGTGGGCAGCGGAGAAGCAAAGGTGAACGTGACGGAGTGAAGTCCCCGTCAGCAACGCTGCAATGAGGCGTGGTGGGGGACACGCAAGCACTCTGAACAGAACGTCATGGAATGCTGAAAAGGGAGACCCAGCGGGTAGATGAGTCCAGACAGGGAAGGAACCTGACAGAGGCAAATGCACACGCAAGCTGGGTGTGAAGTGTGAGTAGGGTCCCCCCGCCAGGCAGGGAAGCCTCTGGAAGGAGACGGGCAGTAATGAGCAGGGGCAGGGAGGTGCACGAGAGCAGAGAGCTAGCTGCAAGGCCCTGAAGAGCCCCCCGGCTGCCTGGTGACGTGGTTCTCCAGACTGTTGTGCTGAGAATCACCAGGGACTTCAGCAAAAATACAGACCCCGGCCATGCCCCCTTTCACCCTCCCTGCGGTTCAGATGCACGACCGAAGGTCAGGGCGGTGTTCGGACCCGAGGGAGGCGAGTGGAGGTGAGGCAGGAAAGGTACTTGTGAAGGGAACTTGAGGGGTCAACACGGGTCTGGATTTTAATCTGTAAACCAAGAAAAAAATCCCACAGGTTCTGAAACCCAGGAGCGAGGTGGTGGAGCAGTGTTCTAGAAAGAGCAGTCGAGAAGGGACAGAGGGCGGCTTAGACAGTGAGAAGAGCGGGGGCGGGGGTGGGGTGGGTGGTAAAGCAAGCAGTGAGGAAGCCACAGCAGAAGTCCCCGGGGAAGAGGGCGGGGCTGCCCCTGCAGCATCCCACATACCAGCTGCCTGAGGCTTATAAGAAATGTAAGCTTCAGCAGCCAAGAAACCTGAAACTGATGGATGCAAAACTGAGCTGCCATTCCAAAGTAACAGACTCATAAATACAAAACGTCACCACTGATTTCACAAGCGCCCTAAGAAGGGCATCAGCAAGTACAGCTGGCAAAACGTCACGTACCAAAAATTTCTCAGTGGCTTCTTGTCCGACAGCACGACAAATATCACCCAAATTTGTGGCACAAACCTTAAAAAGGCAAAAGGCATACTCATTATTCTCCGATTTCTTTCTGTCTTAACAAATTGTGTAAACTGACAAGCGGGAGCCTTGAGAGCAACGAGTCCTCTGGTCGGGCAGCTAACAAGCACTCACTGAGCCCGGTGCCTCCACTGCACCGGAGACAGAAGACTTACAATAGAGCACCGCACGCTAGGACGCTGTGGCTCCTCATCCTCTCGATACACAATGCTTCTGGTTAGCACTAGAGCAAAAGACACCCTTAACGTCCTCTGCATGGTAAATGAGACCCAGCTCCTTGCCTCTGCGTCACGAGGGGAGACCACAGGGAAGATGGGCAGCTGCACAGCAAGGCGGACGGTGAGGCTGCTCGGGGAGGGGGTTGGCAATGGTCTTCAGAAGGAAGAATATGACAACCGAGTGACGAGCGATAAACGGGGAGGGCAGTGCAGGGGGTGCAGTTGGAAGGTACAGCAAACATGCGAGGGTCCTGGAGCCAGTCAGCCCCAGTGATGAAAGGCCTTGCACGCCTGGGCGCCAGCACTGAAGCACAAGCCAGCAATGTCTCTTCCTCCTGTGCCCAAGAGGGTTACCCTCACGGCGTCTAACCCTACGTCTCCACAGATGCCCGGATGGCAGGGAAAACTGGCAACAGTGTTCACTGTTTTCCTTACACAGTTCACACTGGCCACGTTTTTCATCCAGACTGTGTCTACTGAGGAAGTCCAGGCACTTTAAAGGAATCAATTTTGAATCTTGTTTAACTTTTTGAATTTTTCAAGTTTTGAAACTGTACATTCCCACCTTCCGAACTTGAACGACTTCCCATCACCACACAGCTCACAGAATCGAGGGAGCAGCCGGCGCTCAACCGTGCTCTTGCTCAGCACCGACGCCAGCTTGCAGATTACCTACAAATAACAAGAAAACTTGGGTCACTTGGAATACCAAAGCGTAAATGTCCCATGTATCACTAACTGGATTCCAAAAGCGAATATCAAAAATATCGCCAAAATACCCAGGAGGTCAAAACAGAGAACACCTTCTTTTGCATTTTGTCAAGTTGTATCAATAGAAGGCCAATAGTTTTCAAGTTTTACTCAGATATGGTTTGTCTAAAGCTGAAGCGTTACCATGTGCCAGGTGCCTGCCATGTGCCCGACACGTGAATGCACAATTGATGTGCGTTACCTCTTTCATGTTCCTCAAACCCTATGACGTGAGTATCATGTATCTTCATTTTTCCAGATAAGGAAACTAACGCTCAGAGAGGTTAAGTCATGTTACCAAAACCAAAGAGTGGTGAGGTGGGACACACAGTAACAGCTGGACAAAGCATAAAAGACGGCTCACAGGCGATCACTGAAGACTAACCAAACACTGGTGGGGACTAAATGGAAGCAGACCCTTGAGAGGGGAAACCACACTGGGTACAACATGCACTGCTTGCTGCTGCCTTTCTGCCTGGGGCGTCCTTCATTCTGTACAGCCATGCGGGGCAGCTGGACTTCCAAGTCAAAGCTACCGTTTTACTGGCTTGAGAAGTCAGAGGATAGAGACGGGGGTGGCCAGGGAGGCTGGAAAGTGAGGGTAGAAATCCTGGGAGGGAGGGAAGGATAGAGGAAGGAAGCTAAAGAAGGGAGAGCCCCCACCTCTGATTACATCCTACTCTTATCCTTGGCTGATCTCAGCACCACGTGGGCACAGGGGAGATGGTGAGTTTCACAGAGCAAAGCAATAGCTTGAAGGCAGAAGGATCTGTGTGGTTTCAGCTGCTGAGAACTGCAAAGGAAACAGAATCTGAACTGTTTGCTAGAACAATGTTAACACTCTTCAGAGGAAAAACACAGAATTCAGAGTTTCTGCAATGTTTCATTGAGAAGATACATTAGTCACAGACGTGAGAACAAATGGGAAAATGTGACTTACATTCAAGAAAAATCTCAATCACTAGAAACAAATCCACAGAAGATCCAGATGTTAGAATCAGTGGATTTTAAAGAGCTATTATAAATATGTTCAAGAACTAAAAGGCAAATAGAGTCATAACAAATGAACAGATAGGAAATCTCACCAAAGAAATGGGAACTGTAAGAAAGAATCAAGACTTCTGGTAATAACACTGTAGCTTGGTCAGACTTACGCTCTTACAGGTAACAATTACAGAATCTTGAAAAAAACATAAAAAAACAATCATTTAAGAGTACTGGAGAGCAACCAAAAGGCAGAAACTGGAGCAGAGGCTGTCCTTAAAAGATGAACTGCAACAGGAGAAATTTGCAAATAAGGTCCAAAGTCTGTGTCTATATTTTGCTGAGATCTTTGGCTGCTGCTAAACTACACATATATGGGGAGACCCCAGGGACCCGGCAGAAAAGCAGCACCCAGAAACTAAACAAACTGAGCAGAGGCGTCAGCTGCTGCTCTCCACAAAGGAGACAGCTGGGAGCTGGAGATCAGACAAGACTACTGCCTGCTATGTAAAAAATCACTTTAGAGAAATAAAACAGAACCCAGATCTCTGTAGTGTATCATTTTTAATGTCCAGTATTCAATTAAAAATAACTATGTATTAAGAGGAAAAAGTGGCCCATAATAAAGAAAAAATCAATCAACGGAAATCAACACCAAGATGATCCAAATGTTGCAACCACCAGACAATCATTTTCAAGGAGCTTTTATAAATATATTCAAGGATGAGAAGAAAATACAAGCATAAAGAACATATAGGGAATCTCTACATCATAGAGATATATAAACTATAAAAAAAAGGTCAAAATGGGGACTCCCCTGGTGGTCTAGTGGCTAAGAATCCACCTTCCGATCCAGGGGATGCAGGTTCGATCCCTGGTCAGGGAACTACGGTCCCACGTGCCGTGGGGCAACTAAGCCCACACGCCGCAACTGCTGAACCCATGCGCTCTGGAACCCGTGCGCCACAACTAGAGAATCCGCACACCACAACGAAAGATCCCACCTGCCACAATGAAAGATCCTGCGTGCTGCAACTAAGACCCAATGTAGCCATAAATAAATAAATAAATATATATATATATTTTTAAAGGTCAAAATGGAAACTCTAGAGCTGAAAACGACAATAACTGAAATAAAAAATTTAATGGAAAGGGCTAATAGACTGGAGATGACAGAAAGAGTCACCAAACTTAAAAACAGATCAATGAAGATCACTAAATCTGAACATCAGAGACAAAAATTACTTAAATAAACAAAACAAACAAACAAAAACAGAACCTCAAAGACCTATTGTTGGGACAATATCAAGCGTCCCAACTTTATAAGGCCCGGACTGAAAGGAGAAAGAGAGAAAAAGCACCTAAAGGAACAATAGCCAAACACTGCCCAAATAGGATATTTTCTCCACAGGAGTACGATGTGAATGACAGCTGACTTCCCCAGGAAACAACAGGGTGATATCTTTAAAGTGCTGCAAGGAAAAACGAAAACAAACCTCAATTCTATATCCAGTAAAACGATCATTCAAAAATGAAGGCAGAATAAAGACATTTTCCGATGAAAACTGGGATATTTCATCAGCAGCCAACCAAATTCAAAAAAAGTATTAAAGGAAGTTCTTCAGGCTGCAGGGAAATGATACCAGATGGAAACTCAGACGTAGGAAAGGAAGCAAGAGCACCAAAAATGGTAAAAATGCGGGTATAAAGGGCTATGCATTTTTTCCCTTTTCTTACTTTCTCCCAAAGATAGAACTGTTCAAATCTAAAATCATAATACCACATTACCAGGATCATCATGTGATGTACATGTCATAATGTATATGACAACCACAGCACAGAGGAGGAGAGGGTGAAGGGAGCTACGATGTTGCAGGGTCCCACATTTTTGAAAATCCTCAATGGAGAAATTAAAGTGCAGTATACAAAAATATCCAATTAGCCCGAGAAAAGGCAGGAAATAACAGAAGAACAAATGACACAAATGGAAAACAAATAACAAAATGGCAGAATTAAATTCAAATATATCAATAATTACATTAAACATAAATGGAATAAACACTCCAATTAAAAGGCAGAAACTATCAGATTGGCTATAAAAGGAAGACCAAACTCTATGCTGATGAAAGCAGGAGGATTTTAAATGTAAAGACATACAAGGTTTTGAGTAAAGAGACGTAAACAAATATACCATGATGGGCAGTAAACATAAGAATGCTGGAGTGGTTACAGTAATATCACAGTGGACTACAAGATACAGATTACTACCAGTGATAAAGAAAGTCACTTCTTAGTAAAAGAGTCAATACCTCACAAATATATAAACATTAAATGTGTAGCTTTAAACCCTTAAAGTAGACAAGAAGATAGGCTGAAAACTATTAAGGTTCCTCCTTAATAAACTGGAAAAGTACAAGCAAATTGAACTCAAGTAAGTAGAAGGAAGGAAATAATAAACAGTAGAAATTACCAGTATCGTAAATGAAAGGGATAAAACTACAGATCTTCCAGGCATTAAGAGGTAAGGGAGGGGCTTCCCTGGTGGCGCAGTGGTTGAGAGTCCGCCTGCCGATGCAGGGGTCGCAGGTTCGTGCCCCGGTCCGGGAGGATCCCACGTGCCGTGGGGCGGCTGGGCCTGTGGGCCGTGGTCGCTGGGCCTGCGCGTCCGGAGCCCGTGCTCCGCGGCGGGAGAGGCCGCAACAGTGAGAGGCCCGCGTACCGCAAAAAAAACAAAACAAGACAAAACAAAAAAAGAGGTAAGGGAATATTGTAAGCAACTTTATCCCAAAAACTTGATAAATTAACAACTTAGATGAAATTAATAAATTCCCTAAAATATACAGCTTACCTAATAACACAGATGAAATAACAAGCCTGAATAGCCCATATCTGTGTTGAATCTGTTATCAAAAACCATCTCACAAAGAAAACCCTAGAACCAGAGGTTTTACTGGTGAATTCTAACAAATATTTAAGGGCAAAATAACACCAATCTTAAAAAAAATCTTTCAGAAAATAGAAGAGCAGGGAATACTTCCCAACTCATTTTCTGAAGCCAGAATAACCCCGATTCTAAAAGCTGACAAAAACATAACAGGAAAAGAAAATTGCTTACAATAGTCCACTTGAATATAGATGTGAAAATCTCAACAAAATGTCAGCAAATAATGCAGAAGGGAACGCTCTTCACAGTAGAGTAACAGCTGGAATCATCAGTGGATGCTAACACTAGTGGGTGAACGTTTGATGGACAGCAAACTTGTGTAGCTGCAAAGTAACTCCCCTTATTATGTCCAGAGGGGAAAAGCGGTGCAGAGAAACTTGGCAGACACCTCTGTCTAAGTCACCAGAGTTAACATCATCAATCTCAGGACGAACTGAAGTCCTGGGCCTCCTAACGTGACACATAAGGATACAACATTCCTCCCAGGGCATCCCGCCAGAAATGCAGAGCCTGAATCTAGTCACGAGGAAACACAGGACAAACCTAAACTGGGAGACGTTCCACCAAAGCACTGGCCTGTCCTCTTCCAACATGTTAACAAAATGCAGAGAAAGACTCAAGATCTGCCCCAGGTTCAAGGAGACAGAGGAGATGCGACAATTCAGTCCAATGTGTGATCCTGGACAAACGACAATATTTGAACATGAACCATGGATGGGATATTAGTATTGTATCAGGGTTAAAATTCCTGATTTTGATCAGTGTACTATGGTTGTTTAGGAGAGAATTTCCTTGTTCTTAAAAAGGAAATATGCCCTGAAGTATTTAGGAGTAAAGGGGCACAATGTCTCCAACTTACTCTCAAATGGCTCAGAAAATATACACACATATGTGTATGTACATATCTGTGTGTGTGTGCAGATGTGTAGAGAGAGGATGTGATTAAACAAACAGACCTAAGTATAAACCACTGGAGAAGTGAGATAAAGTATGT